TTGTGTTGTGTTGTGTTGTGTTGTTCCAGCCAACCAAGTAATACACACACACACACACACACTCGTCAGGAGTGTTTCAACCACCCAACTGAGAAACACGGCTGAGATTTTTACACTGTCACGTGATGGATATTGTCTAGGTGTCCGACGCCTTCCATTGATGTGTGTATGAAGAGAGAGAGAGAGAGAGAGAGAGAGAGAGAGAGAGAGAGAGAGATACACAATAAGAATACAGTAGACTGAAAGACAAATACTAGATAACACTAAATAACACATGTAAACATATAAACACCAAAACATTCATTATTCCTCCCCTCTCACCTCCCCTCTCACCCCCTCTCACTTCTCCCTCTCATTCCCCCTCTCTTGACTACACTTCCTCCTCTCCCCTCATGTATTAATTTTCTCTCCTATATTCTTCCCCTTCTTTATCTTTTCTTTTTATAATTTTTCTTTTCCTTTCTCTCTATTCTTCCACTTTCTTACCTGTTCCACTCTCCCTTTCCTCCTCCACTCTCTCACCTGTTCCACTCTCCCTTTCCTCCTCCACTCTCTCACCTGTTCCACTCTCCCTTTCCTCCCCCACTCTCTCACCTGTTCCACTCTCCCTTTCCTCCTCCACTCTCTCACCTGTTCCACTCTCCCTTTCCTCCCCCACTCTCTCACCTGTTCCACTCTCCCTTTCCTCTTACCTGTTGTCACATCTTCTATTTTAATTCTCCGTCTCCCTCCTTTAATTTACTTTACCCTATATTATTGTACGATAATTATGTGAACAAAGGAAGAGAGAGAGAACGAGAGACAGAGAGAGAGAAAGGGAGAGAGAAAGACAGAGAGAGGCAGAGGAAATGAAAGAGAGAGAGAGAAAGAGAGAGAGAGAGAGAGAGAGAGAGAGAGAGAGAGAGTCAAAACATTACTAGCCAAAACAAACAAACAAACAAATTCCATGCTCTATATATCCACAGCCAAATGAGCTTACACCTGTAATAACCAAAATCATCAATTATAATCAATACTTTATTCTATCTTAAACTCTACTTACACTTATAGTTTACGAGGCACTTATAAAGACCAAAAGTTTATTTAAGTATATCCTGTACCTGTGTAATTTGGACTGATTTACCTGTATGTAATATCTAGTTATCTATATTCTTTACAGAGGTATTAATTATCATGTGTGCCAGGTGTGTAATTATTTCCCTGGACAGGTGAGGCAACGCCGCTTGTATGAGAGTAATAATGATGCCATTAATAATATTGGTAGCGGTAATGGTAATAGTGAAGGTGTAACAGTGGAGCTACTACTACTACTACTACTACTACTAAGACTATGACTACGACATAGACTACTACTACTATTAAAACGAATACTACTACTACTTTTTTTTTAAATCGTGGCCTCCAGCCTCCCCCAATAGCCACTCCTTCGCCACCATTTTATCACCATAAAATTAAATATCCTAATACACAAGTAGCTATCCTATCTGTGTTGAGTTAGTTGAGCCGCAGATCTATGCGGCATTCAGTGACTGTAGCCTCATAGTCAATATCTGCAACTGTTGTCGGCTTTGGGGCCGATGCTCTCGTTCCCCCGAGGCAAAGCAAAGCCGACTTCCTACTACTTATCCTACTAATAAACTTGTATTGGACGGGAATGCGGTCACCTACGGACGAACGGACAGAAAGACATATGAACTTTTGAATTGAATTGAATTGTATTGTAACAGTTTATTTAGCCAGAAAAATACAGATACAGAGCGGATAATAATAACAATATTAACATGGTTGAGCCAGTTGAGAACCTGAGCTCACTGACAGACACACACACACAGATAGACAGACAGACAGGTATAGATCAATATACCTCCTTGTGTTGTGTTATGAAGCTCCCACCCTCCCTCTCTCCTTCTGTCTCTTATATCCGTGTCTGTTGAGTGCATCTTGTCTCGTTAGGTTAGGTTAGGTGAAACAAACAAGGGTGTAGATTCTTCAGGTGACTAGAGAACACCACCTTACCTTAGGTGTTTGTGAAGAGCACACGAGACAAGGACCACTAAACAGCGTCTTACCTAAGCCAAACTTTGTGTGTATTTACATAAACTTTGGCTCTGAGATGTTTATGTTCATCCCGCTGTGTAAACATGTATATTCAACCTCTCATATTGTTAAAGAAATGTCCTTTTTTACAACCAACCGAACTTACTGTTGTTTGTGGTTGTTGTTGTTGTTTTGGAGGTTTTAGTTGTTGTTGTGGCTGTTGTGATTATTGTTGTTGTTGTTGTTGTTGTGGTTTTTGTTGTTGTTGTTGTTGTTGTTGTGGTTATTGTTGTTTTAGTTGTTGTTGTTGTTGTTGTTGTTGTTGGTTGTTGTTGTTGTTGTTGTTGTTGTTGTTATTGTTGTTGGCTGCTTGTTTTAGCTGTTGTTGCTGTTGGTTTTTGTTTGCTTGCTGTTGTTGCTTGCTTTGCTTGTCGTTGTTTTTGTATTGTTTGCTCTTGGTTGTTGCTGTTGGTCGTCAGTTGTTGTTGTTGCTGGTTTGCTGTTGCTGTTGTTATTGTTGTTTTCTGGTTGTCGTTGTTGCTGGTGGTTTGTTGGTTGTTGCTGGGTTGGTGGTTGCTTGGTGGTTTCTTGGTGTTTGTTGTCGTTGCCATTGCTGTTGTTGCGCTTTTGTCGTCGTTATTGTTCAGTTTCTCGTCGTCAGTTGTCATTGCTGTTGTTGTTGTTGTTGTTGTTGTTGTTTCTATTGTCAGGTTGTTGTGGCTGGTTGTCATTGTTGTTGGTGGTTTCTTGTTTATCGCTTCGTGGCTCGTTGTTGCTTAAGTTTGGTTACTGTTGTTATTGTTGTGATTGTGGCTGTGGTTGTTATTTTGGTGGAGGTGGTGACAATTTCTATTGTGTTTTAAGAAGGTAAATGTCTGGTAATTGGATAATATTTATGCATATCTCTTGAGACGATAATGATAATATACAATGGCTGAACTACGTCACTTCCTTAACTAGTTATATTTATCAACGCTATATACCTGAATATTAGTAACATCAACCTAACCTAACCTAACTTAACCTAACCTAACCTAACCTAACCTAACCTAACCTAAACTAACCTAACCTAACCTAACCTAACCTAACCTAACTTAACCTCCAGACAGACAGTATTATACAAGGACAGTGTCAGGTTAAAACACAGTTCCCACTATAAATACTTCGTAATATTTCCTACATAAAGTAAGTGAAAGAACAAAGAAACATTCACAAAAATACTCAACAATATTCAGAAAATTAAAACGGGAATGTTACCTGTAATTAAGAGTTGTGTCATACCTGTCATAGTCAGCGACATAACTCACCTGTGTTTCACGTAAAGTGTTCTCTACACCTGCGGCCGAGCATTACCTTTTACCTTCTCTTTTTGTGGTAAATCAAGTATTGTTGAAGTGAAGTGACGAGTAGTGGACGATTGGACACGAGTCATCCACTCTGGCACAGTGACAAGGTGGAGCATTTTACCGTGGACACGAGTCATCCACTCTGGCACAGTGACAAGGTGGAGCATTTTACTGTGGACACGAGTCATCCACTCTGGCACAGTGACAAGGTGGACCATTTTACTGTGGACACGAGTCATCCACTCTGGCACAGTGACAAGGTGGAGCATTTTACCGTGGACACGAGTCATCCACTCTGGCACAGTGACAAGGTGGAGCATTTTACCGTGGACACGAGTCATCCACTCTGGCACAGTGGCAAGGTGGACCATTTTACCGTGGACACGAGTCATCCACTCAGTCACAGTGACAAGGTGGAGCATTTTACCGTGGACACGAGTCATCCACTCAGTCACAGTGACAAGTAGGAGTGATTTTATCAGGGACACGAAATACCATCCACTTTGGCACAGCAGACAGGTGGAGCATTTACCGTGGGACACGAGTCATCCAATGGCACAGTGACAAGGTGGAGCATTTTTACTGTGTTTGCTAGACTGTGTTGAGAGAGAGAGAGAGAGAGAGAGAGAGAGAGAGATACGGAGTTGGCAGATCAGACTTAGCATCGACGGCACTCACTGAGGATTTAGCAGATGGCGAGGAATGGCAGATCATTCTTTACTTTGCAGCTTAACACCTGTGGGGTCAAAACCCTTTATGATCAAAAATCAGAAGTCAGACACTTTCAGTGATCAAAATCTGTGGGGTCAACACCCAGGATCAAACCTGTGGGGTCACTGACCTGTTCGATCAACACCAGGGGTCAACACTCTGGTGGGGTCAACACTCAGGAGTAACACCTGTGGGGTCAACACCTGTGGGAGTAACACCTGTGGGAGTAACACCTGTGGGGTCATCTCCCACTTACTTTTCTCCCTCTTTCATTTTCCTCATCTCCTTCCCTTTTTCCTCCTCCTTCCCTCTCCTCTGTCATCTCTTCTAACTCCTTTCTTCCATCCACATACACCCTGTTTTCTCTTTTATTCCTCAATATCTCCTCCTCCTCTTCCTCAGCCTCTGTCCTCCTCCTCCTCTTCATCCACTACCTCATACTCCTCCTCGCCTCTGTCCTCATTTCCTCTTCCTCCTCCTCCCCTCTTATCTCCCTCCTGCTCTTCCTCCCTTCTTATATTATTCTTCTTCTTCCTCCTCGAGCCTGAAGGAGGAGGAGGAGGAGGAAGCTGGCCAGGGCAGGTGAGGTGGTTAATGAAGAGTTATAGTGGGTAGAGAAGCAGCTCCCGCCTCCAGCATTATATATACCTGGTGTGTGTGTCTCTCTTATTTACACGTTTTCTTTTCATTATCCATCATTCCATTTCATTCCCCCCAAACATCTTATTCACACTTTTATTTCATGTTCCTTCATTCTTCATACATTTTTTTTTATCATTTCTATCATTCCATCTCATTTCTCAGAACAATTTTCGTCAGTAAATCAGGAACTAACTTCGTCTTGTTTGTTATGACTTGTTTGTTCTGACTTGTTTGTTATGACATATCTGTTTGTTTACTTCACAGGGATGACGTCACTCAGGAGCTATGGCGTGAAGGCAGTGCTGTGGGGGGTGATGGTGGCAGTGTGTGTTATAGAAGGTAAGTGGTGCTGTGTGTGGTAGGGGTGCTGTGGTGCTGTGTGTGTGGTAGGGGTGTTGTGGTGCTGTGTGTGTGTGGTAGGGGTGCTGTGGTGCTGTGTGTAGGGGTGCACAAAGTGTGTGTGGTAGAGGTGTTGTGGTGCTGTGTGTGTAGTGCTGTGTGCTGTGTGTGTGTAGGGGTACTGTGGTTCTGTGTGTGTAGGGTGCTGTGGTGCTGTGTGTGTGGTAGGGGGTGCTGTGGTGCTGTGTGTGGTAGGGTGCGGTGCTGTGTGTGGTAGGGGTGTTGTGGTGCTGTGTGTGGTAGGGTGCTGTGGTGCTGTGTGTGTGGTAGGTGTTGTGGTGCTGTGTGGTAGGATGCTGTGGTGCTGTGTGTGGTAGGGGTGCTGTGGTGCTGTGTGTGGTAGGGATGCTGTGTGTGGTAGGGGTGCTGTGTGTGGTAGGGATGCTGTGGTGTTGTGGTGGTTGTAGTTTGGTGGTGTGGTGAAGAAGACAAATGGTCGTGTGGTGTTGTGTGTGTTAGAGTGGTAGTGTGATGCTATGTTGTGGCGAGTGGTGTTGTGGTGGTGTGGTGTTGTGGTGTTGTAGATCTGTGTTGGAGTGAGGAGGGAGAGAGGTGTGTGTGATGATGTTGGTGATGGTGTGTTGGAGTAAAGGAGATAAGTGGTGATAGGTGGTGGTGTTGGAGTGAAGGAGAGAGAGATGTGTGGGTGGTGATGATGGTGATGGTGTGAGGAAGAGAGAGAGAGAGAAGTGTTGGTGGTGGTTTGAGGGAGAAGTGTTGGTGTTGGTGGTGGTGGTGGAGTGTTGTAGCCTTAATGGAGTTGGGAATTTTTCGGATGAGTCGTGGGTTAGGGCGAACCACCGCAGTGCGAGTGTGTGTGTGTGTGTGTGTGGGTGTGTGTGTGTGTGTGTGTGTGTGTGTCTAAAGGACTAATGGGAGGGATGGTGACAGAGGAATGGGGAGACACACTGACAGAGACATTTACATTCTCATTGAGTGTAAAAGAAGATCATAGGAGGCGGGGACTAATACAATAAGGGAATGGATTACATTTCTTGGTGTGTGTGTGTGTGTGTGTGTGTGTGTGTGTGTGTGTGTGTGTGTGTGTGTGTTACAGAGAAAACCCATCACAACAAATCAAATCAATGGTCAGAACTTCAACAGAATATTTCCAGAGAAAACCCATCACAACAAATCAAATCAATGGTCAGAACTTCAACAGAATATTTCCTTTACTATTTCCAGTCGATGTTGTGAATGTTGATATTGCATTGTTCCTTCCCTGGTAAACATTCACCCCCGTAGACATTAGAAGAACATTCACATATAACAGAAGGCGAATGTTTACTTCCAACACAACATTTATAGACGTTTTAAGTGTCCGTGTTACTGAGAATGTTAGTATACCGTGTGAATGTTGATAATAATGATAATGAATGTTAGGCAGAATGTTATTTATGAGAAAATTTTATTGTTGTCTAATATAAAGAGGAGAGAGAGAATATATAAAGCCTTCGGATGTATAATGTTAGACAGACAGACAGAGATACAGGTAGACGGACAGGTAAACAGACTTAGGGGAGAACGAGAGCCGACATAAATTTCTCTTAATTACAGTCCAGTCGTGTAATTACAACAATTAATGATAGCTTATAATCCATATTTTGTTCAACTCCAAAAATATCATAAAACTATCTCAATATAACTCCTGAAATAAACAGTATTTGTCATTTTTAATCAGAAATTTATTACCTGTATGTTTTATTAAAGCTGCATACCTGTTATTAACCTGAATTTGAGTTTATATTTACTTTTGGGAAGTATATAACAGGGTATATGTATTTTATTTGTATATTTTTTTTCACAATTACTAGATGTGTGTGTGTACCTCGCTTTGGAGAATAACCGAGGGAGGGGTGGGGTGAGGGGGGGTGTTTTTTTTCACGGGAGAAGTACATATTTCACAGCCATCGTGACACCTATCTCGCCTGGAGGATCACAGGGGGGTATATTTTTCACTGGTAGAAGTACTGTATATATACACATTTCACAGTCGTCGGGGTAACTATATCTAGAGAGGGGGAATCATGTTTTAAGTCCAGGAGGGAGGGGTATTATTTTTCGCGAAAGGTACTGTATTTTTTCATCTCCCTGATAAACCAATCACTGTGTAGAGAGAGGATTAAGGGAATATACATTTTACAGAAGTGATAAACATTTCACACCCGCGAGACATAAATCCCTCTAACCCCCCCCCTATGAAGGAGAGAAAACACATATATTGTTTGGTATTGAAACATAAAATATTCAGGAAGTGAAGAAAAAAGTCAACTCATTTATCATTCAATGCCTTTGTTTTCATCGCTGTTGTCGCTACTCTCCGGCTACACAACACAGGAAGTTGGCCTCCAGGGTAAACAAATACGTGTATAAGTTGTCGTTCGTCTGTTTTGTCTCCTCAGAAAATATTTTATTCTAACAAGTGGAATACACCTCACCGCTTACCATGTTATTGTTGAACCTAGTTACTGAGATGGTCGACTCCCTTGCCACAACAGCAGTCACCAGATACTTGAAGCTGAAGGTGTTGATCTGAGGGAGATTATATAACGAAGGGAGAATATGTTGTGGGAGGGAGCTTACTGTGTGTGTGTGTGTGTGTGTGTGTGTGTGATGTACTGATTTTTTTCCAATACGCCTCTCTCTCTCTCTCTCTCTCTCTCTCTCTCTCTCTCTCTCTCTCTCTTTTTATAACTCTATCTGTCTGTCTGTCTGTCTGTCTGTCTGTCTGTCTGTCGGTCTGTCTCTGTCTATCTCGCCTTGTCTCTCTGTCTGCCTCTCTCTCCGTGTCTCCTCTCCTTCCTTCCATCATGTTACAGGTGCCTCGTGGTCACATTAATGGGTAATAAACTAGTGGTCGTAAAATGCGATCCTCTCCTTATACCCAGGTAAAGATAGACCTCCCCTCCCACGCCTCCTTCCTCTTCTTCTCGCTCCTCTTCTTCCTCTTCATCCTCCTCGTCTTTCTACACCACACACACATGACCCATCCTGCCATCGCTGTTCCCCGCTGATGGTGATAGTGTAAAGGTGTTTAACTTAACATACATATTTAAAGACATTACCTACTATATCATACAAATATTATGACAAAAAAAATCATTATATAAACCCTCCCTATCGTATAAAATTGAACTGAAATCTACGTAAAATTAAAAGACCCCAGTTATCGATACATAAAGATAGATGTTAACAAAACCTGACATAAAACCACTTGACTGACTTCTATACTTGTGTTGAAGATAAGAGAGTCCCCCCTCCTCCCCCTCCTCTAAAACAGTAAACAAACACGATATACCTTCAACTAAGTGTCAATATTCACCATCTTTAAACCCTCGTGTGTTGAGTCTTGTCATCCCACTCAAAAGGTTCAGGTATTCAGAGGGTCATCTCAGGGTACTAGAGGCGCTATGGTGTGTTTATTGTGTACAAGAGGTAAAGGGGATGAGCGTTTTATGGTGGAATTCCATTTTGTTCTCTCATGAGGCTTCTTGGTTAACCTGGGGCAGAGGAAGGTAAATATTGAGTCTCTCTTCCTTCTTTCTTCTTTCTTTCTTCTTTCTTCTCTCCCTTCCTTCCATCACTTTCTTCCACTTACGCTTCCTTCCCTGCCATCTTCCTTCCCCCATTTCTTCCTCCTCTTACTACCTTTCCTGCGCAACCCTTCCTCCCTATCATCACCCTCCCTCCTAACCAAACCCCTCCTCTTAACCACCACCCTGCCCCCCACCCCCCCTCCTAACCACCCCCTTCCTAACCACCCCCCCTCCTAACCACCTTCCCTACCACCCTTACTTCGCGGACACTATCCTTGAGGAGCTCCCTGGCGATATTGTGTTTCCCGAATGAAAAAAAAAATCTACTTATCTGACTCGGATGACAGAGGCGCCATCTTGAAAGCTTCTGGTGGACTTCGGGGACATGACAACACCACACAGAGACGCCTTGTTTTTTTACCTCAATATATTTGTAAAACTTTATTCAGAATTTACATAATATAGGGAGTTTAAAACTAAACGCGGTAAAGGGAGGACTCAGAACACGACTAACTTAAATGTCTACTACGCGAACAGTAGAAGTATGAGAAACAAAATGGATGATATTAGGGCCTTGGAATGTACCGAAAAAATCGATATAATTGCATTCACTGAAACATGGATCAACCTACACTCACGTGAGTTGCCGATCGAATACCAAATTGCGGGTTACAAATTGTTCCATACCGATAGGCAGACCAGGAAAGGAGGCGGAGTAACAATCTATGTTAGGGATAATCTGAAGTGTGAAATAAATAAGGAAATAAAAACTGAGCGGAATACAGAAACAATTTGGATAGAATTAAGCGACGGTAGGGAAAAATTAATCATAGGAGTAATATATAGACCTCCCAATCTTGATAGAGTCAATGAGCGACTTATCTGGAATGAAATGCGCAGGGCTTCCATACACAACAAAGTCTGAATAGTAGGCGACTTTAACCTTGGCCAAATAGATTGGACTGACCTTACAGGTAACTCAGAATCAGAGGATTTTCTCGAGACGATCCAGGACTGTTTCCTAAGTCAACATATAACCGAACCCACCCGGGGTAATAATATACTCGATTTAGTTCTGTCGAACAGGGAAAACCTCATTAGCAATGTCGAGGTAGGGAACGAACTTGCAAACAGCGATCACAAAGAAATTCGATTCCAGTTAGATTTTCAGGGCAGATGTAAGGAAAATTCCACTAAAGTACCAGATTTCAGAAGGGCAAACTTTGACAGTTTAAAGAGGCAGCTGGGAGAGGGGGTGTCGCGCTTGGCCGTGAACCTGACAGATGACTCCGACCTGATAACGACATCTGAGACTGCCGAGTTCCACAACAATTTAAATAATGAGTTACTTAATGCACAAAGGCAGAACATACCATGCAAAAAACACAGATCAGACAACAATGA